AAGTGGCGACGGCTTCGCAGTTCACAGCCCTGCGAGGTCTACTATGGATTTGCGCTGGACGTCGCGATGCTGGAAACCCCTAGCAGCCCTCGAAAGTGATGGCAGCTTCGTAGTTCGCAACCACCAGGGACGGTGAGTTCAAATCTGAATCTGCGTGGGACGTCACGCTGCTCGACCCGCCCAGTCCTCGAAGGTGGCGACGGCTTCGCAATTCGCAGCCAACCCGTGGATGGCGAGGTCTAATCTGGATAGGTGTGGGACGTCTCTATGCTGTACCCCCCCCCCAAGCAGCCTTCGAAAGTGGCGACGGCTTCGCAATGCGCAGCCCCGCCACCCCGCCCCAGGGATGGCGAGGCCTGAATCTGCGTAGGCTGCCATTCCGCTGGACCCTCCAGCCGCCTGCGAAAGTGCCGACGGCGTTGCAATTCGCTCCCGACGTCCCCCCAAGGATTGCGAGATCTGGTGTGAATCGACATAGAACGTCACGATGCTGGACCGAAAGTGGCGACAGTTCCGCACCCCCCGCCAAAAACAAATGATGAGGTCACATCTGAATCTGCGTGAAACATCAATATGCCGGACCCCCCCAGCAACCCTCGGAGGTGGCGACAGCTTCGCAGCTCGCAGCCCCCCCTGATGATGAGGTCGAGTCTGAATCTGCGCAGGACGTCAACATGCTGGACCCCGAGCAGCCCTCGAAAGTGGCGACAGTTCCACGGATCGCAGTCCCCGTCGGGATGGTGATGTCTAATCTGGCCCTGCGTAGGACGTCACAATGATCGACCCCCCCAGGGATTCCTCCTCCTCCTCCTCCTCCTCCTCCTCCTCCTCCTCCCCGACGTCATCCTACTCCCCGACGTCACCACGTCCTCCTGCTACTCCTGCGTAGGCGGTGACAGTTTCGCAGATTGCAGCCCCTAGGGATGGCGAGGTCTAACCTGAACCTGCATGGGACGCCACTATGCTGGGCCCCCAGCAGCACTCGAAAGTGGCGGCGATTTCGCAGATTGCAGCCCCCAGATATGGCCAGATCACGTAGGATGGCGAGGTAGGAGGCAGGCTGGCAGGCAGGAGGGAGCGATGTAAGAGGCAGGAGAGAAGAGAAGAGTAGAGAGGCGGGAAGGAGGATGGAGAACACAGTCTTAGTCGAAACGGGAACCCAACGTAGGAGGGTTGGGAACTATTCGAGCGATCCTCAACAAGAAGTTTCAGTGTCAATATGCTGGTTCTCAGTGTCTGGCCAAGGTGGATGGTCCTGGAGTGTGGTATAGTTATCTGCTCGTGACGTCTGGTCTGGATGTACGGACGCGGCGTCATCGTAGCGTATGCTCGCAGTGTCTGTTCTAGATGTCTTTGGACGGCGTGACGTCGTGACGCCTGGACGGCGTGATGCCGGGAAACCTCCCTGGTTGGGATGCCTGTTGGTTACGCCTGGTATATACACATACATATATATGTATATACAAAAGCATGGGTGTATATATATATATATATATATATATGCTTGCTCGCTGTCGTCATTGGACAATCGGAGATCTATGGGGCATGGCAGCCGCGGCATGCAGGGCGCGCGCGGCGGGACACCCAGGGGTCACCCTAACTGTTGGGGCCTGGCGGCCGCGGCATGCACGGCGGGGATCTCATCTCCTCGGACGCAACGGCGCCAACTATGGCCGCGATGTCGGGAATCCTGTTGCCAGCATTTCTCGGATGGAGTCGTGCTGGTCTTCAGAACTCGTGGTATCATTGTCCACTGCTCGGCGGCCGTCCAAGGAATGTCGTTAAGCCCTGTGCAGCCCGCTCTCTGGCAACATGATTGAGCATGCTGTCGCCTTTAGCTCGTTCGTCTTCGACTTAATCTATAATGTTCTAATCGGCCGTTGGCGGCCTCGACACCGAAACACAAAATGATCGACGAATCTAACACTTTCTCTATCGCGTTTCCGTCAAAACCGGGTTCAGGTTACTCGATCGCCAAGCCAACTTGGCGCTTGGCAGTGACATGGAAATTCGCCGACCCCTTGGGTTGTATTCAGCGTGTGAGACTGTTGCCCCTCCCCAAACCCCGCCCCCAGGAGCCTGGTCTGGCCGGTTGTTGAGGGGGGGGGAGACCGGGCAAAAGGGCTGGGGGCCTCATCTCTGCCAGACATGCGCCTGCACGCTCTAAAGTGGTTGTGACATGACTCTAAAAGGTGCCCCGACGCCTCAATGGCCTCCACGAGGCCCCCAGCTGCACCAAGACGTTTCACGATGGCCTCAAGACGCAGAAACCTCGAAGACGCCGCCAGAAGAGGTCGAAGAGTACACTCGACAGGGCCACATGCACGCGAAAATCGGCCCATCCCCGACGGATGGCGTACATGTTCAGCGTCTTCGCCCTCTTCGTCTTCACAGCGCCCACGGCGGCCCCAGGGAGACCTGCAAGGATCGCCCCAAGACGCCCTGAGCGCCCCCCGGAACGCCCCAAAACAGGCCTAGACAGCACCAGGCAGGCCCACGAGGCGCCCTGGAAGGCCCCGGAGGACTCCAAAAGTGGCCTCGGAGGGGCCCGCGACAAGCCAGGATGGCCCCAAGACGGCCCAAGACGGCCGAGGAGGGCCCCAAGAGGCTCCCAAGAGGCTGCCAAGAGGCCCAGAAGAACCCCGTCGAGGATCCCAAACAGCTCCTCAAAGGCCTCAGAACTGCCTCGAAGAGAGGGGGAGCGGACAAGAGACGGCAAGCCCTTCGCAAGATCAAAAGGCCACTGGTCGATGCTCCTAACATGTCACCGAGACCCCTCCTCCCTCCCCGCCTCCCCATGTTCCACAATGACACAATATGAATACTTCTATCCTCTCCCCTCCGACGCTGATGAAAAAGTAGTCGGCTCCCTTCCGCGTATTGTTTTTCATACTGGGTTCAATTGTTTGTGTGCATGCTTTTTTCCTACGTGCTTTTCCAAGCCGACGCTTTCGCTCCCCCTCCGCGTACACTTGTTTGACACTCATGATGTGCGCTACCTGTGTTTGGTTGTGCGTTTTCACATCCGGATGTTGTCGGTCCTTCATCTTTATTTTGATTTTCGCACTTCCGGCACACCCACATGTCTGCCCAAACGAACGCTCTTAAAGACCCGCTGTTTCTGCGAGAGCCAGGGGGGACGCGGGAGGGTCACCGGTGACCCGCGCGGGTCACCGGTGAGTGGGCAGCTTTAGCAGGCCCAGACCACACCCAGACGATCCACTTACCCTCTAAGGAAGCTGGTGCCATGCGACATGCACTGCGGCGCTGTGTTCTGTGCTGCTGCTCTCCTACATCATGCTTCGCGTTTCAGTGCTGTGTGATGTAATGCCTCACCACGCAATGCCACGCCATGCTCTGACATGCTACGCTTTGCCGTTCTCTTCCACGCAATGCAGGCCGTACTCTACCATGCATCGCGTACCCTCTCGGGATCATTGTCCTGCTAGCCATCCGACTGCGCGAATAGAGACGATATCTACGCCATGATAAGGGGCGAGAGGGAGGGTTATGACGTCAGATATGACGCGAGCGCACGTCGCGTGTCCTTTACCTCCTCTTGCTACCCCTCCTGCCCCTCATCCTTCCCCTCTTCCTCGCACTGGCTGGCGGGACGCTTTGGGCGGCTCTCGCTCTGGGAACCAGGGACCCCCAAGGGATCGGCAGCGAGGCATAAGCGATCGAATCGATCAGCGTGCAACTCAGGCTACTGGCCCCCGTTGCGCATTCACGTGCCGCTGTGCTTACGCGCCCGGCCTCTCCATTTCTAAGCGGGCAGAGCTTCTTTCGCTGCATTATTGAAGGGGCCCCAGGACACACAAATAAAGATACACAGATAAAATATTTTCTCATATTTCTCAAAATTTTCAGGGTTTTTGTCTTCCCCCCCACTTCCCATATTTTCCCATATTTTCCTGGGAGGCGACGATTAATTGTGTCTGTGTGTTTTTCCCCTCCTGAATTATGATGGTCAGCTTGCGCCGGAGTCGATGCAGGCCACATTACACACCGTGCGCCCGGCTGCAGGGTGCCCCGGAAGCATCGACCATTCTTCGGCTGACGGACTCCACCCAATCCAAAACAAGAAACAAACACCTCTGCAGAGGGCCTCGGCTGCCCCCAGAGATCGGGCCCCAGGGTGTCGAAGGTTCGGGCGCCGGCTGCGCAAAACAAGAGTCGTAGCCGCTTTTGCCCTGGCCTCGCCCGTCCTCGTTTTACTTGAGAGACCTGATTTTACATAGGTCGCTCGCGGAGCCGACGACGATGAGCAAGGAGCAGCCCCACTTATCATTACTGCGTCAAGACGAACGCCGAACGCGAGCGAGACAACCGTTCATTATGTCTAAGCGAGATTGGGCCAAAATGGTGCTACGATGTTATTGCGCAAGACCCCATCGACAAACGGAACGACGAAGCGCTGCGCTACTGCCGAGGAGAGTGGAGTGGTCTTCACAAGGGGCTACAGACCATATGATGAACTGATTGTTCAACAAGCCCGCGGTCGTATGGTGACCTCGCTGACCGCTGTTCTGGGTTTCTCCCCCCGCCCCTCTCGTATGCCCCCTCCTCCTCATTTTCCCAGTCCCTGGTCCTGCTCCTCATTCCTTCAATTCCAACCCCCCTCCTTCACATACAACTAGTTAATGCCTTGCTTGAGGCAGCCACCAGCTCGATTGGCCATCGGCTTTGCCGTGCCAGCGGCTGGACGCATGGGGCGTATACCAAAACAGCTCGTGAAGACTCCGAAGCGACGCCTCTGGTCTGTCCGAGGGTCACTCGGCACGGTCAGGCAATTGGCAGGACATGCAGACAAATTCACTGCGGAGGGGGACAATACTGCAAATTCGTTGGCCGACAAAGAAACTGGCGCTGCAAAACAAGATGAGGGTGCAAGGGACGGGAATACAGGTAGGAGCCGAGCTGACCCGTGTACCCGACAATCTCGGGAAAGGACGCCAAAGGCGACGCCGTCACCCGCTGTGCGGCCAACCAGCCGTGGCTCACGCAGCCCGCAGGATACCATACTGGGCCCTCCTGCTCAGCGCGCCCTTCGTCAGTCGCGACACAACCACGGTGGAGATGGCGACAGCAGAAATGCCCAAGCTGGTTGCTGAGCCGAGCGGGAAGCCGCCGAACTCCACGCTGATCCACCGGCCAAGCCTGGACGAGCCACCGAATTTCTCTTCGACCCGAAAACTGTCAGGCCCGTCGGCCTCATAGCCAACCTTCTGGCCCAAATCCACAACCTCCGACCAGCCAGCAAACTCTAGATCCCGGCCTTGCCGCGTCCTGGCGACGACCGCGAACTCCGATACGTCCTTGAACACAAGCACGACCGACTGATTCACTGAGTCCAACCACATCTCCCGGACGCTCTTACCATCCTCGGGGTCGTTGGGGGACTTCAGAGTGGGATCAGAAACTGGCGGAGGGTGAGCAGGTTGTTCCAGAACGCGTTCAGAGGCAGAAGGACTATCTTCCTTGCTCGCTGCATCTCCAATCATGAACTTGGGAACGCCGTGGTGGTCCATCCCAGCCTTCCGCACGAGGGATGCCATCCTAGATGGGGCGAAGCACTCCGAAGCGCCGAGGATTTCGAGCTCGAGGCCAGCGTGGCCATCATCATCCAACAGGTCAAACAACGTGAAAAGAACCTTGGGCAGCTTCACACGCGACACGGTGCCTGACGAGACGAACTGGAATCTCAGGTGGACAGGCGAGGAGCTGTTGAGGTTGATCCTCCCCATGACGCTGCCCTTGCCGTTTCTGTCGGGCAGACCGAGGTAGTCGCCGTTGGGGGCGGTCACCACGAGGTCCACCAGATCACCGTCGGTCCTGGCAAGGCGACTGTAGTGCAAACTCTGAGGCGCGTGCTTGTCTGGACCTCGCCCGCCCAGGTTGCTGTGTGCCACCTCCGCGTGCTCGAAATCCAGGTCCACGAACGCCTCATCCTTACAGACAAGCTGCTCTGGCAAGATGATCGTGGGCAGCACGCGCGGCCGTGCATCCAGGAGACTCCTGCCGATCGCCGCTTCGGAGCCACCACCGCTCGTCGCCTCGCCCGCCGCAGGGGCGCTGGCGCCAGCGTCCTGCAGCTGCGGCGTCGCATTCTTGCCCGCGCCCGCAGGCGATATCATCCTTGGCCGGACCCCGTCGGGCCACACGGTCAGGCCGCGCCCCAGGAGCGTCAGGTTGTACTGGTTCCAGCACAGCTCCGGGTTCACCTCGTCGTCGGGGTGGCCGACGCACACCCTGTCCACCCAGTTGCACTCGATGGCCGGGCCGTCGTACACGTAGTCCGTCGGGCACCTGATCTCCGCGATCTCCCCCGCCCGCGCCTGCGAGACGTACCCGCTGTCCCTGAACCCGAAGCCGTGGCACAGCTGCAGGGACGACGTCGCCTCGTCGTCGAAGCCGTACTCCTGCATCACGGAGCAGCCGCTCAGCGAGAGCGCCGCTCCCGCCAGGCAGATGCCAAAGGATCCTCTGGCCACGCGCGCCGCCGCCGCGCCCATGGCGCCTGCCGCGACCCTCGCCGGGCCCGAGGGCCTGCGCAGGCCTCCGCCTAGTCGACCCCAGCCCTGGCGGGCGACATCCTGGTCGAAGCTCGGGCCGTGCCTGCCGAGCGCGGCTGCTCGCCATCGCTCGGACGCCCCTCCCTCGTGCACGCCTCGGCTCCGCGCGTACGTGCACTTGTTCGCAGGATGGCCCAACGTGTTCCTCGACGCTCCTTGCCGAGGAAGCATGCGCACGCCCGCGCGATGCCCTGTGGGGGAGGAGGAGGAGGAGGACGAGGAGGAGGAGGAGGAGGAGGAGGAGGAGGAGGAGGAGGAGGAGGCCGCGGCGCGGGCCACGAGCCGCGAGGGCGGCGGTGCCCGCGGGGGCGAGGGCGCGGCGCACGAGGGCCCGGGGCCCGCTCCGGGCGCCCTCACCTGGCCGGCGTCGGCGCGGTCCCCCGGGGCGCCGGCGGCGGAATGTCGGCCCGAAGGGGCTCTCCTCCTCCTCCTCCTCCTCCCCCTCCTCCTCCTCCTCCTCCTCCTCCTCCTCCTCCTCCTCCTCCTCCTCCTCCTCCTCCTCGTCCTCCTCCTCGTGCCATCGTTCCGACGCCCACGCCACGCGAAGGGTTCGATTTCGAGTGCCTTCCCGCAGGAGGATCCAAGGTCCTCCTCGATGGTCCTGGCCGAGAGAGGTAGCGGGGCCCCGGGGACACACAAACACATAGACACAAGTAGCCGGATTGCCCATGTTTTCCCATGTTTGTTGGATTGTCGTCTTCCCCCCCCACTTCCCATATTTTCCCATCTGTTCCTGGGAATGGACGATTAATTGTGTCTGTGTGATTTTTTCCCTCCCGAGGAAAGGCACACGTCCGAGCGGTGCCAAATGATCGGCCATTCTCGGCCATCGCCCACGTGCTGACGGAGTGCTGTGGACAATCCGGTGATGAGAGCAAGCAACCAAGCAGCCCAAAGCTTAAGTCGGGCATGTCCCCGTACCGGG